TTTAGTTTTAGTTTTCCAGCTTCGTGTATTTGGCAAGCTATAAGAGAGCGAGGGAAGGTGAGAAGGGGAGAGATGGAGAAATGGAACACGAAAGAGCGAAATGGATGTGGGCAAAGTTTTTGTGCCTTTGTGCAAATATTTTGCACGGGAATTGCATTTGCGGTGCCGTTTGCAACAGTTTTAGTAGCTGCAACAATTACAACAACAACAACAACAACAGCATGATGACGAAGATGATGATGACGATGGCGTGATAATTAAAATTGCGAGAAACTTGTGTAATAGAGTCGCGAATGCAATGCGGCGTGCTCAATGTGGCAAGCGCCACGAGGCACAGTGCCAAATTACAGAGGATGAATAATGGCTTGATGGAATGAGAGAAGGATGAACGAACAAATGCCACAAATGCTGTGTATATAGATGCAGTGAGATGGTTTGATTGATGAAGAAGCAAATCAAAGAGATAAATCAAACATGAGGCAATTGATTTAGTCAGCTCTGTCCACAGATGGTTTGCTTCCCATTCCGAGAGTGTTTATTGAGAGTGCGATTGTTGAGAGTAGAGGATACTCTATTTGGGATATGCAATGCGAGTGCAATTCAGTAGAAAAGTGCTCCATGATATGCTGTCATTTACATACTGCTCAACAGCATGAAAAATAAACTGGAAGCAGTTTAGCTTCCGGTTAAGTCATTCCGCAACACAATTCAATTTGTGTTCGTGCCAAATGCAGAAATTATTAGGGCGCGCTTGCTGCAAATAATGAACTCTATAAAGTTTTACCAGCACACTAAAATATGGAAAACATGGCAGCCAAGCAATGCCAAGAAATGCCATGAAATTATAAAATGCTTGAAGAGGGACGAAAAGTTGTTGCCACTTAACGGAAAGTTTGCTCAAACAGAACAGAACGAAGCGATCCACGCAACGACTTGCCGAAGTTTTTCAATAAGCAGCAATGCCAGCAGAAACAAGGCTCAACATGTGTTCCAGACCTGCCCACGAAGGAGCAGTTGAGGGCAAGGCAGGAGCAGGAGCAGGAGCAAGAGCAGGAGCTACACAACTGTGAAAATGTGATGAAGCGAGTGAAAGCTTTCACTAGGTGAAACTCGAGGGCAGAGGTGGAAGGGGCGTTGGCTGAGAATATATGGAAGCCAAGGCCAGGGAGCATTATAATTTATGATAAGCCAATAAAAATAATTGAAATACATTAAAGGCAGCCAGAGCCAACAGCACCAACCAGAAGGCAACAGGGAACAAAAAGTGCCTGAACCGATATCTGCCCATCCACATGTGAGCGTGGGCACAAGGAACCCAGTTGGAGTTCTTTCATCGATTGCTGTGAATCGTGAATCGTGCATCGAACAGGAGGAGGCACGAGAATATTAAAGTAATGGCACGCAATAAAAGGCGAGGCATAAAAAACGACGCGGGAATGTCAAAGTTGAGCCGCACGCCTCGAGACATTCTGATTGCGGCTACTGTGCGAAGGCTGCGTGAAGGCTATGAAAATACAAACAATATAAATAAAACATGGCGGAAGGTAATGTCAGCATTTGAAGGTGAAATTCGGCGGGTTAAGACGAGACGAGATATGACTAAGTGATTGCTGTTTGATGATTGTGGCTCGACTGGAGATAAGATGACAAAAGCCTTTGATTTGCGTGTTTCAGTCAGCGATGATAAAAGATTTCCCATATGGCTTACGCTGCGTATGCGTAATAAAGACGGAAGCAGCGATAAAGTGACAAATTGCACACGTATTTCGCATTTGCTTCAGTTGTTTGTGACATGTTCCATTTACACCTCTAATGGACTGTTTGCATGTCACTTTGATTTCATGAGCTCATTAAGAGAGGGTGATGAAGAAGAGGAAGAGGAGAGTAGACATGTGGAGATGTCTTTCTTTTTATTTTGACTGTTTGGCATTTGCACAGTTTCACAGTTAGCTATAAGTCAAGAAAGTTGAACTTCTCAACAACTCCACATCTTTCAGCATCTCCATAAAGTTGTCTTCATCTGCCAGCCCCACTTTTATCTCCTAGCAGAGCTGCGAAATACTTCAAACCCAGTGAAAGTTGAGCGCGTTACATTTCACAGCTTTGGCTTTGGTTTGGGTTCGTTTTGGTCTGGCTGAATTTCCCTTGGTGTTTTCCGCTTGACAACTCTGCTTAATTTAACACGCTTTTTAACTCAATTCCATTTTCAAATTTGTATTTAATTCGGCCTTTTAGCACGCTGAATTATTCATTCACTGTTTGATTTTTGTTTGTTGCATGTTTTATTGAATCGATACAAAACGCAAAACCAACCGCTGAGTGATCAATTTGAGGCGGACTACGAAATACTTTTGCCACATCATCACAAATGCAGCAAATTAATAAATATCATTAAATTTCAATTTGTAGCTCTTTTGTGGCTTGCAACGGGCGGTGGCAAGGGCAACCTGGTGGGGCAACAATTTATTATGTGTCTGCTTTGCATAGCAGCAGTAAAAATAACAAAGGACAACAACAACAACAACAACAAGAGCGACAACAGCACAATATTTTTATTTCATTATGTGTGGCAGTAAGAGGAAGAGCGACAAAGGCGCCAGTGGGTGGTCGGTTGGTCGGGAGGGCGGGCCAAGCGAGGGAAAATGGGACAACAATAACGATAATCATAATAGCAACAACAATGGCACGAGACGTCGTTAGCGACTGAGTGGAATGGCAGGGGAGGGGAGGCGAGCATGGGACTGGGCGTGGCATGATTGACACTTTTACATGCTGACGGTCTGCTGGTCAGTGTCCTCTCTGCACGGGGTCAAACGAGCACGTATGCCAAGTGTATGCATGCAAATGAGTGCGAAGTCCACTGTGGCTGGCTGGCGTTGCCGTTCAAGCTGCATCTGCAGATGTCGGCAACAACAAACAACAATCAGCTGATGCTGCGTCACTTCGTTCGTAACTAACCTGGACAGGAGCTGCTGTGAGGTTTTGCCTGACTCTGCACTTTGCTTCGTTTCTCTTGGTAAAGTTAGCAAAACAGCAAAAAAGTCAACAGACTGCGGTTTAATTTGCACACCAAACTGAATTTTCAAAACGTACTGGGAATACACAAAAGCCAAAAAGAGAAACAAGAAGAAGATGAATGAAAAAATTCAAGCATTCCTTTTGGGACCTAACGTTGTTAGTCTCAAGCTAAAGAGAAAAGATTGCCGAGCTCGATAAAAAATATCCAAAAAGATGTTTAACTCATCTTATGTATGTAGTTTAACTCATAACTAAATGAAACAGAGGTCGCATTCATAAGGAAAACTACGGACATTACAACTTTAAAAATTAAAAATGTAATAAGTTTATTAATCTGTAACTGAAAAGAGAGCCTTACTGAATAGAATGACTATCATATAATGCTATTATATTATACATCGTCAAACTATTTCCTTTTAAAGCAGTTTATCATATAAATAGTTTAATTAAAATATACAAAGTGTAAATTTATCTATCCATTGCAAACAAAAAAAAAAAAAAAAAAACTTTTGAGCGCAATGTAAATAAATTAAAACAACAAAGGCTTGTCCTGATTTAAAAAAATTTGCTGAGAGCTCGCGATTTTTCTCCTATTTATTATGTAAACAAAAATAATTAAAAAAGGCATAAAAAACTTCAAAGCCAACAAATTGTGGTTAATTTATTTAATTCGCCTTTACAATTTTATTGCGAAATAAGCCTTTTATTTTCAGATTTTTTATATATTGCTTTGCTTAACGTGCTGCGTTGGCAAAAAACACAAAATTGCCTCTGTAAATATCACGTATACGCACCGCATGCAGATATCCTCGTCTGCGGCTGGCACATAAATCAAAACTCATAAATTTTATTATCCTCCCATTTTTGTTCCCTGCCCATTGAAGGAGTGGGAGCCCCTGAATGTGCGCAACTCAAAAACAAGTCCCTTGACAACGTTCCCATAGGGGATAAGCACATCCGCATATTTCAAATGCTTTTAACGGCGCATTTTATTAACTCCGTTAAGTCCTCTGATTAGGCTGTGTCGTTCGGCTCTGCCAGGAGTATTTTGAATTATTAATGCGAGTGGGGAGCATCGCATGATATAAATGCCGACTTAGGTGTACATAAACAAGCATCAGCAATCTTTTTTTTGGCAGTGTAGATCACACATTGAGTTGGGCGAAATCTCGCACCCAGTCAATTAGCAGCTACAGCAGCCAAGTGACCAATCCAATGATTGCAAGCCATTCCCTGCTCTCGCCCCGAGCTGAGCTACATCAAAATTGCATTGCCCAGCTCAAGCCTTCCGGATGTGCAACACTTCTTGTGGGTTTCAGGGGGGAAGGGAGCGGTTGTGGCTGCGTGCTGTCGGTTGATGCGTTGCTCATTCTGTCGCCCGCTGGCAGCTTCCTGCTGCTGAGGTAAATTTAATGCAATTTAAATGGAACTTTGCTGCTTTCATTTATCGAATACGCACTGCAGCACACACACAAAGGGCGCACACATACAGGCTGCAGCTGTAAATTTCCATATTTGTCACATAATTGGGACAAGGACTTTCTCTGGCTGCAGCAGCAGGACATGCCTTCAATTTGTACAAAACTGAAATGGAACAATGTCTGTCGGACAGTAGATGGGCGTGGCCTCCCACAAAGTATCCGCTAGCGCTGCAGGACTCTGCTGGCCCTGCTGCTGACGGCATGGCTTCTGCAAGGGAAACAGACATAAGTCCCTGTCATTTGCCACACTTGACTTGTTGCCGGACAGATGCTTCCCCCTCCTCCTCCTCCACAGTTAGACAAACTCCTCCAGCCCATGGCAAATAGTATTATGTATAATTTACTCGCTTTGCTCTGTTTGATGTGTAATGTTTACTCTGCCTAAATAGCCTTCCCTCTCTCTCTCTCTCTCTCTCTCTCTCTCTCTCTCTCTCTCTCTCTCTCTCTCTCTCTTGCTATCTCTCCCTCTTTCACAGTGATAATATTCCAAATTATGTTTACCAAGTATTTCCTTGCTCGCTCGCCTAATGCATTTCGCCAGTCTCCTGCGGTGCCTGCAAAGAAAAACAGGAGACAAGTCAAATACCGTATTTAATGCTGGGTTCCCCTCGATGTCAGAAAGTCAAAAGATTTTCGAATGGAAAAACTGATTGTCGTCTGTATTCGTGTTTGAGTAATAAAAACATTTCAGGCTGAGTCATAAAACTCGCTCTGAGAAATGTTGATGTCGCAGGCTGGAAATTGAGAATTTAATAATGGCTCCCAAAAGTATTTTATATTATCAAGAAAGAAAAATCAAACAAAATTTGCGAAAATATTTAGTATTGATGTCTGCCATGTGGAATATATAAAGATTCCGATGATGATTTGAAGAGGTTTAAATTTTCCCATTCCATATATCGACTCTCTCCGCAGCTCCGCAAATGTTTACCTGGTGGGTTTTTAATTTAACATGAATTCCAAACGAAGTGAGATTCGGAGTTCAGAGGTTGCTCAAAGCATTTGAGTGCCTCGTTCTGTGTTTACTTTCGCTTTTTATTAATTTTCTCGAGCAGGAGCAGGCGTTTGCGTCCCCTGTGAATCCTTTTATCGGCGAAAGGATCTGTTGACACTTCTGGGTTAAAGAGAACCCTTTCGCCTCTACCCAGTCCCGCTCCCATACAAATAAATTCAATTCACAGTTTGGCACAGTGCGAAGAGGGGTTCTCCTGCTCCCAATGTGGGTGCACTTCGTTTCTGGAATCAGATTATGTGTTTACGGCAGCGTTCGTGTAGTGCCTCGATTTGCATCCCAATATCCACATCCCACTTGAATACGAGTGCCTCGTCTAAGTGAATTCATTGCCAGGTAAATAAAGCGAAAAGAAATTCCAGCGCCACGCAAATTTTGATTCGATTTCCTCTGCCCGAGGCACTCAGCTTAACAAAATTCGGCCAGTTCTATTGCTTGGCGTAAACAATCCGAAATGGCAACAATTTAATTCAGAATTAACGGCACATTTTCGCCATCTGCTTTTCGTATTAACTAAAGAACTTTGCTGCCTCCCATAAATAAAGTAAATAATTAGGTGGCCATTCGCTCTGGAATATCTGAGAGCAGCTGAGTTAAAATAAATTTGTGCAAAATATTCGCAGAAGAAGGGAATTCGTATGAATTAGAAGTGCGTCATATCGCATGCCTGGGAACAAAAGTTGATGCAAATATTTACAGACCGACGGCAATTAACTATTCCATTCATTTCAAGTTTGCTCGCAGAAATTCAAATGCCAAATTCAAAGGAATAAGTGAAATGGCTTGGAATGCCAGAAAGAGGAAACAAACGGAAAAGCGAGCAGTGAAAAACAACAATGAAATGGAATGGGAACGAAACAAAGGCAAGCCAATAAAAGGCACACGAATTTAAATCATTATTCGAGACAAAATTCATTAACTTTGAAGACAAAGCCTGCGTTTTATGTCTCCATCTACGACACTTGTCTTGAATTAGGTGCGAATGGCAGAGTTGATTGTTGTGGCCATCGTCTTTCGAGGGGGTGGAGGAGAAGGAGTCAACTGAGCCGAAGAACATCTTTCACTCTGCATTGCAATGACAAGGGAAATGCTGTCCAAGGAGGCGGACAGCCACAATTCAGATATTTATCTTGCTGCTGCTTCGTGTATTTGTCTTGTCCTGGCACATCTCAGGACTGGGCACATCCTCTCAAGTAAGCTGGCAATATGCGGAGCAACAACGGAAGCAATTCACACAATGCAAATTTGTGAGTCGGGCTGAGCACTTCCTTCAGCTCGCATCCTTGCCTTGCCTTGCCTTACCTTCACAGCAGAACTTCCTTTCATTTAGAGAGAAAATATGAGCAGGCGGTGAGTAATTTCACTCCACCCTTTTCTCGTTTTGCGTGCAAGCAAAGTCTATTAAATATGATTTATTTGCAACATATTTCTACCTTGGCTGTTGAGGATAAACTTTTCACTGGCACAGAATAAATTTTAAGCAACGGAATACAAATCATCTCGAACTTTTCTAAATGTAGCAAAGTCTCATTTATATTTTTCATTTTAGATCTCTGTTAATGTCGCTTGGCCTGTTTGGCATATCATTCAATTCTTCATGGACCTCGGACAGTTCTGTCCCATTCATCTCCACTTTGAGGTCTTCATTTGTTCAGCTAATTTATCACTTTTAATGAGCTTGGCTTTCTTCTTCTTCTTTTGTCTTCGCCCTGCTCACCTGAATCTATAAGTGGCTCTATTGCGATTATCCGCCTCTCTCCGCGCTTCTCAGCAGCACGTAGCCAATGCCGAGCAGTTCATCAAATGGCGCACGGCTTTAAATTGCGCAACTCTGTTAGTCGCCTTATTAATGACAGCAATTTAAGTGCCCATTATTCTTTGTGCCCGCCGAGCACTTCGCAGTTCGCACTCGCACTTCACTCCCCTTCACCTTCCCTTAAGCGCCTTGCGGAAATGATGTTGTCACCAAGTCAAATCGCTTTATATCCGCTCCGGGGGAAATGACTTGGACGCGGACTCACCTTTCAACTACATTTCTTCTGCACCTGCTCTTTGTTGGCTTTCGCTTTGGCTTTGGCTCTGCTTTGTTTTATTCCCTTTCACTCTCTGCTTTGGTCCACGAAGCTCTGGGCAAGTTTCAATTATAAACACTCTGGAATTGGCTCAGTGCGCTGCGCTTTATGGTCAGCACGTGCGTGGGATTGGCAACAAACGGAAGTTGGCTGCAATCAGTTGTAGAGAGCCAAGAGTGTGGACCCCGAGGGGAGGGGAGTTCCCTCCTTCGACTCTCGGATTAGTGGAAGTGGAAAGTGCGGAGCAATCAACTTGGATTTCTTGTATGATGCATAAGTGAGCAGAAACTTAATGAGCAGCTGAAGGGATTAGGTGAATGCATGTAGACATGGCTCTAAAAATAATTACGATGAGAAAATAAATTCCTGTACAACTAACTAAAATAAAGAAGCTGTCTGAATGGATTTAATGCCAATTATTTATTGAACAAAATAGGTACAACAATTAAGGCAAAATAAATTAATTAATTGTTCACAGATAATTTTATACAGTGCTTATCATAATTATAGCCCACTTTTAATCCACTTAAACGAATCGGCTGAAAATTTTTCCCAAATGGAATATTTCCTCAAAATCTTCAAAAATGAGTAGTTCAATATTTCAATTATGAATGGCAAAAAACTTTTTCACTTAAAATTCACGATTTAATAACGATTTCTTAAAAAGAAGTAAAAAACAAGGAAAAACAGCAGCATTTTCTGTATCAGCCCGTATTCATATTTTTGTAAAAAAAAATCCGAATTCGTTGCGGATTAAGGGAAAAACTAATGTTAATACTTAGTCCGGCCTCCATTTGTCTTAGTTAACTCAAAAATTCTCTTCCTCATTGAAACCACTAAATTTAATAAAAGGTCCTTTTCGAAACTTTGTTATTTAGTCATTGTCGTTTAGAATTTGCGTTTTAAGATATCCAACTGTCTCCAACTGGCGATTTTTGGCATACACACGTCTTGCAAGATTACCCCAGACATTTTTATCGGGTTGAGATCCCCAAAACATGCTGGCCAGTCAAGGACATCAACATGACATTCCTCCAAACACTCTTTTGTACGTCTGCTCACATGGATTCTGGCATTATCCTGTTGGAAAACCATTGGTTTCTCACGTAATTCTCTTGAATATGGAATGAGAATACTATCCAGAGCCTGAATATACTCTTCACTGTTCATTCGGTTTGTTACAAACTTCAATTCCCAGGTACCAAATAAAAAAAATGGACCCCAAATCATGACGGAGCCACCTCCAAAGTTTGTCCTTGAAAAAAACATAGGATCCTTCCTCAAATCATGCTAATAAGTATCAAACCCATCAGGACCATCCAGGTTAAACTTCTTCCCATCAGAAAATACGACCTGTTAGGGTAAAAATTTATAAATATACTGTAAGCCAAAAGACGATGATTCAAACGCGCGTATGTCAGATCGGTCGCAGTATGTCCATCGGCAAAACCAAGTCGAGCAACCTTGTGGCGACTTAGCAACATGGATGCTTTGGTCAGTTTAGACCTATTTATGATTCCTGAGCTCTTAAGTACTCGCCAAACAGTCATCGCTGACATAGATTCGGCCACATGTGCGGCCAAAGCTATACAAGCGGCTGGGTTGTTGCTGGCTTTCTTAATAATTTTGCGTTTATCGTGCGCAATTAGTAACGGTTTTCACCCAGTACGTCTTCTTGATCCTTATTCTTCGGGGTTATCCAAAAAAATTTTAATTACACTTTGACTTTTTTTTTCAAAATTCGTAAAATACTCGAAATAGACTCTCCTGACTCGAAAAGTGAGAAAATACGGCCCTTTTCATAATACGATAATTGTTTTCCAAGCGGCATCTCTTAAAAACTATCTAAATTTACTTAATTACAATGTCTGTAAAGCCAAAAGTCTGTTCCGCACTTAATAAATTCAAATTTGCGACAGTGGGCTATAATTATGATACACAAAAATGCAAGCAAAAATGCTAGCACAGAGCAAAAGTTAACGGTTCTTTCCATAAATTGAACTAAAATTTTGATAAAATCTACTGAACATGCTCCAGTCTATAATGTGCTGTAAAATTTATTTTTAAAAAACCTTAAAAATTTTGTTACAACGCGCTCAAAGTTTAAGTTGCAGGGTGGGCTATAATTATGATAAGCACTGTATATTGGCAGAAACAAACATACAACTCCTTAATTAAATTGAATTTTCCTCTCTAATTTAAGTGCTCTAATTGCAATGTCAGAAAAACCCAAGACATAAAATGTTAGTGGAAAAAAGTCTGGTTGGTTTATATGGCCATTAAATGAGTTGGCTGCGGTCGATGAAACCACCAAGCCAAAGGTGGGTCAAGCGGCAAATGGCAAACGCAATGACAAGACAGAAGCAAAACATATTCAGACAGCAACAGCAGCAGGAGCAAATGAGCCTTCACACAGCCAGGACAACACTCATATCCCTAGTTGACCGTAAAAAGTTTAAATGCGCTGAAG